TGTATGTATGAGATGTTTTTGACGTAAAGCGCTGTCACTTGGGACGAAGTCTAACATCTTGTATTGGATATGAGACCGGCGAGCCTACGATAACTGCGTGACTGCCTCGTGTTCTTGCTATGCGGTGCCTTTGTCGCAGCTCACGTCGTCTCGCGAAGTACGACAGACGCCACTCGCTATGAAGTCTACTCATCCAGAGCCGATCTCCCTAGACGTGGCGTGGCATATCTTCAATCACAGCGAACCCCATGTCCAGTCCGGGTTCACGCGATGCTCGCGCACTTGGCATTCGTTCTTCAACCCCAAGCTTTACCGAAATGATGTGAAAACGGGAAAGTACTATGCCGTTTTCAACACCATTGCCAACTGTACAGATACGCGGGTGGCCCTCGCCACGCTCCGGCATACCTTCCAAGCCGGCGCTGACTACAACAAACCAGCAACCATGTATATGACTGAGACCCATCGATATAGCCCTTTCCTAGTCACGGCCCTGTATCTGGCGGCTTCCAAGGGCTATTCTGACATTGTGTCGTTTCTCCTTGATCACGGTGCCGATATCGATGGGGTCCCGGACTGCCGGCTACGTACTCCCGTCTTTCTATCTCTTCTCAGCGGAGACGCCAAGACGTCCATGATTCTCCTTCGGCGCGGCGCACGGCTTGAGTCTTCTGAGTTTGGAATTAACGCCCTCCACCAAGCCGCCGCCGCCGGGCTCACCGAAGTAATCACGTACCTTGTCGACGAGAAAGGGATGGAAGTGAACGAGGCCGACAACAATGGGGACACGCCACTGATTCACTCCCTGTTGTCTCCATCGCCAGAAACGGTCATAGGCCAGCTGGCGCAGTTCGGCGTCGACGTGAACCAGCCTACGACGATCGACACATGGCGCATGACGGCCCTCAGCATGGCGTGCGAGGACGGCATGTTCTCCGCCGCCCTGGCACTGTTGAAGGCTGGAGCGGACGCCACGGGCGAGCTGGACGGATTGGTCGAGGGGGCCGACCCAGC